TTGAGATCGGAGAGGTTTTATGCCAAATTCTCCAAGTGTGATTTCTGGTTACGAGAGGTCCAGTTCCTTGGGCACCTTGTTAACCAGAAGGGGATATTGGTCGACCCAGCCAAGATTGAGGCGGTGTTGAGGTGGGAGGTGCCGAGATCGCCCACTGAGATCACGAGATTTTCTGGGATTGGCTGGATATTATCGTAGGTTTATCAAGGATTTCTCCAAGAACGTCGTGCCACTTACCAGGATGACCCGGAAGGGTGTTGCATTTTCCTAGGGACCAGAGCAGCAGTCCTCATTCGAGACCCTTCGTCAGAAATTGTGCGAGGCTCCGGTGCTTGCACTCCCGGAAGGGATGGAGGATTTTGTGGTGTACTGTGATGCATCTATATCGAGTTTGGGGGTGGTGCTTATCCAGAAGGGACATGTGATAGCGAATGCTTCGAGGCAATCGAAGCCTCATGAGTCGAGATATCCCACCCATGACCTGGAATTGGGGGCTGTGGTGTTTGCTCTCAAGATCTGGCGGCATTATCTTTATGGGGTTCAGTGTACCATCTACATGGACCACAAGAGTCTGAAGTACTTGATGGATCAGCCAAATCTGAATATGCGACAGAGGAGATGGTTGGACGTGGTGAAGGATTACGATTGCGAGATCCTGTACCACCCGGGCAAGGCTAATGTGGTGGCCGATGCGTTGAGCCGTAGGGCGGAAAGCATCCCGATCTGAGATATTTGTATGAGGTTGACGGTGATAACCCCGATTTTGGATACCATTCGAGGAGCTCAGGCTGAGGCTGTGAAACCAGAAAATCAGAAGAGGGAGCGAGTTGTAGGTCAGGTATCAGGATTCGTTACGGATGGTCGAGGGTTTATGATTTTTCAGGGTCGGATTTGGGTACCTTTTGTGGGTGGTACGCGTATTATTTTGATGGAGGAAGCGCATCGATCGAAATTCTCGATTCATCCCGGGGCTACGAAAAGGGAGGAGTATTGGTGGCCCTGTATGAAAAGGGATGTTGCATGGTTTGTTGAGAGATGCCTGACTTGTCGGCAGGTTAAGGACAAGCACCAGCATCCGCACGGTAAATTGCAGCCACTAGAGATTCCCGAATGGAAGTGGGTACATATTACCATGGATTTTATCACCAAATTGCCGCAGACTACGAGGGGAGTCGATGCGATTTGGGTGATCGTGTATAGATTGGCAAAGAGCGCTCATTTTCTAGCCATCAGCGAGAGCTCCTCTGCGGAGAAGTTGGCAGAATTATACGTGAGGGAGGTGGTATTGCGGCATGGGGTTCTGTTGTCGATTGTTTCAGATTGCGATGTGCGTTTTACTTCCAAGTTTTGGAAGAAGTTTCATGAGGAGTTGGGTACGAGACTGCATTTCAGTACCGCATACCACCTGCAGACGGACGGTCAAAGCGAGCGAATGATTCAGACTCTTGAGGATATGCTCCGAGCATGTGTTTTGGATTTTGGAGGGAGCTGGACGCCTATCTACCTTTAGCAGAGTTTTCGTAGAACAACAGCCATCATTCGAGCATTGGTATGCCACCCTTTGAGCTGTTGTATGGGCAGATGTTTCGCACCCCCATCTACTGGGGAGAGGTGGGGCAGCGGGTGATGGGTAGAACGGAGATTGTACTCCAGACGACCGAGCAGATTCAGCAGGTCAGGCAGAGGTTGTTCACCGCGCAGAGTCGCCAGAAGAGTTATGCGGACAGGCGGCGGTTCTAGCTCGAGTTTCAGGTTGGTGACCATGTGCTCCTAAAGGTCTCTCCTTGGAAAGGAGTAATACGATTCAGGAAGAGGGGCAAGTTGGGACCCCGGTACATTGGACCCTTCAGGGTAATTGCTAGGGTAGGCTGGGTAGCCTACCGGTTGGATCTACCTGCTGAGTTAGGGCAGATCCATGATACCTTTCATGTCTCGCAGTTGAGGAAATGTATTGCCGACGAGTGGGCAGTGGTGCCCTTAGATGATATTCAAGTGGATGCAGGCCTAAACTATGTGGAGAGACCAGTAGCGATCAGGGGATCGGAAAGTTAAGGTTCTGAGGAACAAGGAAGTACCCCTGGTACAAGTGTAGTGGCAACATCGGAAGGGGTCCGAGCTGACATGGGTGTGTCCGAGTTTGAGATGCGGGATCAGTATCCAGAGTTGTTTTCAGTATGAGACTTCGGAGGCGAAGTCTGATTCTAGCAGGGGAGAATTGCAACAGCCCGAAATCCAAGTATTCTTCTTTTGGCCTTGCATCTTGGTTAATTTGATAAGTTAGGGTTTTCATGGTAGGCGAGTACGCTGGGCGTACAAGGTGTACGCTGCGCATACTCGCGCGCCTCTTTTGGACGTGTTCACCCTTAGGTACGCGGGGCGTACCCAAGGTTACGCCTGGCGTAACTCATTCAGATCCAAACCCTAATTTCCTTTGGAGGGGCTATAAAAGGAATGTGTGGCTGGCCTTCTCAGCCACCATCCCTCAGAGTGAAACCCTAAAAAGAGTGTACCTTCGTTCTTTGGCCATTGTGTGTGTATTCTAAGCTTGGTGGTGCCATTCCAAGGTTGCAAAGGAGAAGAAGAGCTTGTTGGAGAAGCTAGAAGTGGTGCTCAAGTGTAGATCTGAGCTTTGCCATGGTTAAAGCTTCATTTTCACTGTAAAAAGTTCGGATCTTGTCACTTGGTTCATGTTATATGCTTATGATGTCATTTTCTAGGGTTTAGGTCCCAAATGTGGAGACTTTTTGTGCAAATGGCCTCCATAAGCTTAGATACTTCATATTTCTGATCTATTGGAGTTGTAGACTCATAAAAATGGCATCTTGGACGTAGGTATTGCACCATGCATGAGATCTAGGTCCTTGAGTTTGAATAGAAGGTTGTTATGTGATGTTGGAGCCTTTACAGCCATGCCAAGGCTTAAAGGTCTCGACTTTATGGGTTTAGACACACTAAAAGAGTCGGACCTAGAAGTTGTAGTAATGGCTTAACCGATTAAGACCAGAAATGGAGAGTGGCTGATTCTGGTGGTTATGCCCGGGCGTAACTTCCAGTACGCGCAGCGTACTTGGTGGAGACCCCGATCCAGAGGGGGGGGTTGGCGATGTACGCCCCGCGTACATCTAGCAGTACGCCCCGCATACTCTCAGGGTTGACTTTTGTTGACTTTTAGGGTTTTGGTCAACATGAGGACTTTAGGTCAAGGAAGGGTAAAATGGTCTTTTACCCTCTGAGGAATGATGATAAGGGGTAAAGTTTTAGTGGTGGAAGTCTTTGTGTGTTAAATGATATTTTTATGTTTAAGCGAGGTTGAGTCGTCATTTGGATTCGGTGATAGCGACGACGCGAGATCTTAGACTTTCCACAAGGTGAGTTTTCTCACTATACTATACCCGGAAGGTTTGACTGTGTGACCGGAAGGTCGGGTATGATATGAGATATATGTATAATGTGTAATAAGTTATTCGTTTTTATGTGCCATGTACGATATGCTTGATATGGGCCGGAAGGCGTTATGTTATGGGCCGGAAGGCGAATATGTTATGGGCCGGAAGGCGTTGTGAGGTGGACCGTAAGGTTGACGTGGGTAGGACCGGAAGGTTTACCTAGCCGGGACGGAAGTCCCCTGAGACACATGGACTGGAAGGTCAGGGCCTGGAAAGGCGTATGTGCGTAAGTTGTATTTTGGGGAACTCACTAAGCATTTATGCTTACAGTTGTTGTGTTATGTGTTTCAAATACTAGCGAGGACCGTGGGAAGGCGCCGGCATGATCGTACACATTATCGGGGGGAAAACTATTTTTATGATCTTTGGGATGTATTCTGTTGTGAGAATATTGTTTACGTTTGAATTTGAAATATTAATCGATGTTTTGATGTTTACAAAAATGAAAAATTGGCTTTAAAATCTACGTTGTTACAGTTCAACAGGTTACGTGTTTGGACAATCATGTGTGTCATTGATGTGATAATGATGTCAAAACCTACACAATGAGTGGTGGATAGCTCACACCACACATCGTAGTTGAGATGTTCAAGGCCGAGGAGAAGAGGGACGTAGGTTTTGATGTTGGTTGTAGGATTTGGCAAGGGACGGTGGTGTGTTTGTAGTGTAGCCAACAATTAGGGTTTGATAGATGGCAATAGATGAACATGGTTAGAAAAAATAGAGAGATGATGAAGAAGATTAGAGGGAGTTTAGGTAGGGGTTGGGGATTAACTCTATGTAATGGTAATTGATATTTCCTCATTCAACTAAATAATTACAATAACAAGGAATAAATACAACACAAAGGAGGCCTTAGGCCTGATACAAAAATATACACGGTGTTTACAGTGATGGGTAACAAGGTAACATAGATATTCCTTTACAAAGATGATACTCCTTAATGGAAGGCTACATCCCGATTTTGGCCTCTACTGATTTGTTTCGAACCCAACAAAATCGCATGAAAATCTTCGATAGTTGTTCATATCTCTACTTTATAGATTGATAAAGCATCATCTTCTCAAATCACAACTAAATCGGCATCAAAAGCAGCCCAAATCACAACACAATTATCTACTTAAAATAGACTGATAATTGATTTTTAGAAAGCGCAGTCGAATAGATTTCGATAGTACCAATTCATAAGCATCAAAGAATTAAATCAATTAATTTTATTTGAAGTTGAAGTGTTCAAAAACAATCGTTGATGTTGAATTGTTCATTATCATCATCAATGTTATTTATTCCTTTCACACCGCATTCTTTTTGCAATTGCATCATCTTTTCCATTTATTATATTTTTCACTGCTATTGGCAAGCAAGAAAATTAAGTTCGATGGCAACGAATGACTCTGGTAACAACATTGAGAAGTTTCATATTATTGTTATTGATGGTAATCAGCTCTGTGAATGGAATAAGATGGCAATCAGCTCTGTGATTTGATCATATTTGTATGGAGAATCATGAATGGAATAAGATGGCAATCAGCTCTGTGATTTGATCATATTTGTATGGAGAATCATCATAACTATGTAAGGAAGATAGAAGAGCTTGCAACACAGTTTTATATGGATCCAACTACTAATCAACCTAATGCTTTTGGACTTATACTTGTTGGATGCGCTGATTTCAAGACTAAGCTTAGTCAATCTGATTTGTTTGAGCCTCTTCTTCAGGAGAAAATCTTGAATGTTGTTGATGTCTATTACGGGGGTGAGAATAGTTTCAATCAAGATATTAAGTTGTCCTTTGAGATTCTTGCCAATGTGAAGTTCCTTCAGGAGAAGCATTTGATTGGGAAGTATTTTGAAGAGATAAATCAGGATAGAGGTACCATTGGTATTGATGAAACTTTCGAAGCATTACACATGGGTGCTATGGAAACACTACTTGTTTGGGAAAATCTTGAAATTAATCGCTATGTTCTATGAAACAATTCTTTTGGTAAAATTATTTTAATGTATTTAAACAAGGAATAGGAGATTGATGGGAGTAATTTTAGGAATTCAGTCAGCGATGTTGAGCTTGTAGTTGAGGAAAATATGTCTTTGATTGAGTGGTTTGTTAATGAGTACAAAATATATGGTTGTATGCTTGAGTTTGTCACATACAAATCTCAAGAGGGGTGTCACACCACAAACCTAGGATGGTGGAAACATCTGGGGATGGCGGACTTCATGTATAGTATCATAATAATGAGTATAATAGTGATCATAGCAATACAACCTGGTAAGTAGAATCTTGCTATGCTATATGTGTGCGAATAGGAGGGGGTAGGAAGCATATATTAGTCGTGTTCCTAGAAATACTTATAGGGGTTTGATCCTCATTAGTTACTTGTATAATGACCTAGTGCATACTAATTACATATAACAAAGATACGATAGACCTTCGAATAAGTATCCTATCCATGGTCCACATCCAAACAAGGAAAACGAAGTAAGGCAATGACCACATATCCTAAGTCTATGATCTCTAACTTATATATAACTTTAGAGTATCCACTTATTGACTATATACCTATTATTAAGGATTTGTTTAGTTTTCACATAAGTTATAATCTCACAAAATACTCTTATAGTATTTTAAATGTTATGTTTGGTTCTTAGTAACTTTCTTGTATGGGAAGTTTTTAGGCATGTTGCTCACTATGACTATGCCCCAACATACAATAGTCACACCTCGGATGAATATAGTTGATCATGCTATATTCATTCCAAGTCTTATTACATATCCCAAGGTCTACTTGTAGTGTCCAACTCCGCGTTTTACCTTTGTAATGTCCTAGATATGATACTATACTAGTATGTATGCATGCACTCGTACTTTTAATCAAGAAACTATTTCATTTCAAAAAGTATAGTTGTTTGGAAAATGTTTAAATCAGAGACTTTAGTCCTAATGAATTTATAGTTTGTATATCTTATGTGGTTCGATATACCTAGTTCATTATAAACAATGCTCTGGTACCAATTTGTCACACCCCGAAACCTAGGATGGCGGAAACGTCCGGGGATGGTGGACTTCATGTATAGTATCATAACAACGAGTATAATAGTGATCAAAGCAATATAACTAATCAAAAATATAATTGGAAAATAATTACATGGTTTCAAGTGTTACATATTTCAATGATTGATTACAACATGATATAAAAATAGTGATTCAATGTCATAGCGTTCCATCCTAAAAGCTTGTGATTACGTGGTTTCGTTGATTTCCTGAGAGTACAAGTAGTTTTGAAGAAAAATGTCAACAATTAAGTTGGTGATTTCATAATATTTTTAGATGAAGAGTTTGGAAACCGATCCTTGTAAGGAGTTGTGTGTTACCAAGAAAAATCCAATATTTTCCTTACAAGAGTGATGTGTAGTCTTAAATACCAAGACCGAAATGTACAAGTAATATCCATACTTATTGATATAAAAAGTGATTTTAAATCGACATAAAACCCTTTTTGATTTGAGAAAATCCCCATAAACTTTATGTGTTGTTAACTCCTTATGTGAGTCGCTATAACCATACTATGACTAATGAACCTGCAACGATGTTTCTTAGGCGTCGAAAAAGATAATGACACTTGTCACCCTAGACCTGCCGGTCTAGCTGTTGCATGTAGCTCAGGTGTGGGTTTGTCAGACCTAATATAGATCGAGACAAAACTATCACGTTCTCCCTACAAGAGACACTGGTTATAACTACCAGGAATTTTAACCCATACACTAGGAGTACTAAGAAGAATGTCTCACAATTTAGGTTAACAAGTTTACGTGTAGTGTGCGTGAGTGTAAAACCTTTTTCCGTGGGAATAAAACCTTTCGACATATGTTTGTTGTGTTAATGGAAACATGTCTATAATGTATATGAATCATAAAGTATACTTAGCATAGTTTATCATAAATGTTTGTAATGTATACGAAACATAAACTATACCTATTATAGCTTATCAAAAACGTTTTGTAATGGTAGAAATCCTCTTTGCATATGATGTAAACCTCTATAATGAGGTAAAATACATATAATATAACCAACATGTATTTATATATAATAATACACACCTTTCTCAGCAAGTCACAAGGTGTAAATGAGTTATAAACAATTTGCTAGTGTTATCTTTTCTTTTCTTGTTCTTCGAATAATTATAGAAAAATAATACAGAGATCAAAAACTAAATCCGCAAACTCTGAGTGTTTAGAAAATGTGTCTAGTTTGTCCATAAATTTTATTGTGATTTTTAAAAATCTCTAACTGGTCTAAAAACATTCATATTCGCTGACTGGTCCGAATTCATAGCTACAGTGATAAGCAACTTTGTAAAAATCACCATACATAGTAAAAAAATTATATGGAGATGTGCAAGTAGTCATTTTAAAGGTATAAACGTGAACTATTTGCATCTAATACATTTTTGAAAACTAAAATGTTTAAGTTTCCCAAAACAGCCAATGAATGAACATTAACTTTTCTGTTGAAAGTTGATCTTTGAGTTTAGTTGTGTTGTTGGTGTTTTAACTTGTATCCCCCCCCCCCCCCCCCCGCCTTTAAAACTTAACAAAAAAAATGAAAATATAGGGGTATGAACTCACCTTGTGTAGTTTTAGTGAATGGATGATTAAGAAGGGAACTGTTCAACTCAAGAACACTTTAGATGATGCTTGAAGATTCGAAGATCTAACACAAATATGATGATATTTGTGTAAGGAAATCATGATTTGAGTGAGGATGTGTAAGGAAATCAAGTGTAGTGAGAAATTTAGTTACCAAAGGTGTATGAAGAGCTCAAGATCAGCCTTGAATCTTGAATTCTTGGTGAGAGGAAGTGAGATACAATGGGTTTTGCTTTTTGGTGAAAAGTGAGTGAATGGGAGGAGAGATAAGGATCCTTCTAGCCTTTGATCAAGATTATGGTTGGAAATGTAACGCCCCAATTCTGGTATGTAATTAAATATCTATATTTTCCAGGTTTTCAATAGGAACTCGACGAGTCAGTAGCTCGACTCGTCGAGTAGAGATGGGATAAGCACGTGTTTGGAGCTGGCTACTCGGCGAGTCCATATGGTTGGACTCGGTGAGTCCGCCAGTTTGGTTGAAACCCTAAATCTAAGGGTTTGCACCCTATTTAAATGACTTTTTACGCACTAATCAGCCTCCCTCACCCACAGAGAGTTCCATACTAAAACCTTAGCCATTCCTTATCATTTTTGGTGTGATTTCTCTTATTGTGCAAGTTTTTGGTGCATTTAAAGCCAGAAAGAAGAGAAGAGAAGAGGAGGAATCAAAGGGGAGCAAAGTAGATCCGATTTCCTTGTTGTATTACAGTCTTTTTTGAGGTATCAAGTTCAAACCTTTATCCTTCTTCAATTAGATCTCTTATTTGGCTTGTATTTGCCATTTTTGGCTTGGTAGTAGTATAGAGAGCATGTGATGATGAATAGCCATCAGATCTACCCATGTATGAGCTCTAGAAGCTCAGATCTACTTCCTTTATGGGACCCTTGATGAGTTTAAAAACTCTTAGATCGATTAGATATTTCACAAGCACAATTAAAGAAATCAAACAAGTCAAAACAATATGAGAATCAACACAAATCTAAATCAAATGTATGCTTATGATTCAAAACAGAGTCACGCCTCAGCGGAGCTCGATGAAGAACTTCCGCTATAAAGGCGAGCTAGGGTTTACAAAACTGTGAAATAAAATAAACAATGAAAAGCGCTCCTTCTAAGTCTGCATGCATGCAGCTTATATACTAAAACCTAGAACAAAAATATGCACTGTTGGACAAGCCCAATACCGGCATTCAAATTGGGCTAAGGACTGAGCCCATGATGCAATCTAATAGACCCAACAATCTCCCCCTTTGCGTTAAATGAGGCGAGATATTACTTCCTCTGTGTAGGCTTCACCGTCTTTACTACTTTAAACAAACAAGGTATTATGGCGAGAAGAGTCTGTCTAAATTGTATGTACCACCTCAACATGTCAGTAAATAATTTCTTATCAGCAACATTGTTCTGATCGCACCTCTGAATGATCTCCAAGATATGCTCAAGGCAAGTTGTTGAGAAGAGGTGTTTGTCGACAAGAGCGAACAAACATTTTTGACCTTCGCCCCTATGGAACATAACTGTGTGATATGTTCATTCGATTTTCTCCTTGATAATGGTATTGACATTGCCAGCTCTGCCCATAATCTTGATCGTTGTTCGCTTGTGTATGGCAGATGCAATCTCCTGGTCCATCTTCGCTACCTCATGTATGTAGAAACCAAGCATACGCTTGACATGATCAATTATTGGCTGATACTCCAAAGGATTCGATAGAAGAATGTTAATGAGGAGTATCCAGTCATGAGGGTTAAGGTTTGGTAGATCAGCGAGGGTAAAATGGTAGACCAAGCCTTTGCTTCCTCGAGTCACCCTGAATTTGACAGTAATAAATTTCCCTACTGAATAGGGCTTCATTACCTTGACTGTGGTTATTTTCTTTGAGCTCCAAGTCAGGTATTGGGGTTGAGCAAACTCCAAGTAAAATTCTAGAAGATCCCTATCTACCTTCGGGTCTGGGGAAGGAATAGCAGCAGTTGAGTTGAAGCAGTGGAAGATAAATGCCTTTCGAATGATTGACATATCGGACTGTGCATCCTTGGAATTGTCAATACTAAAGGACATTATTGGCTCAAGCCAGAAAATGCTTGGCTCATCAATTGCACATCTTTGAAGCGAGTCTATTGTCCACACAGGAAACATGGACTTTTTCTTATCTAGTAGCTCCACCTCCTTTCGCTTCAGCTCCAGCTCAGCTTGCTGTTTCTTGATGTTGTCTTCCATTTCTTTTTCAGAAGTCTTAACCTTCTGGAAGGGATTCTTGGGAGTCTCGGCATATACATCATCTTCATTGTTTGTGTCGTCATTGCCGATTTTTTTCTTCTTTTTGTCTTTGTTGCTGACTGAAGCGTCATTACCCTTCGGTCCAGCAGATGGTTTTCATCCAGAAGGAGGAGGTTGCGATGTCACTTTCTCTCCCCCTTGTTTCGGTTGGACCCTGGTTACTGGAACACCCTCTATATGGCTAAGAATACCTAATGTCGGTCTGAGCTTGTCTGCTAGATGACGCCTGACAGTTATAGTGATGATCGGATCATGAGCCTCAATAAGATGAAGAAGGATGGAGTGAACATCTGCAGCAGAACTCCTAATGACTTCCCTTTCTGACTTGAGATCATTAAGCTCAGCATCAATACGCAGCTCGTGAGTCTACAATTTAAGTTGGGCAGTACGTCTGTCGAGCTCATCCATAATGTGATTCTCCACAGCTAACTCCGCTTCCAGTTGAGTTAAGCGATCGTTGACATTAGCATGGAGAGTTTCGTTGGCTTGTTTAATGGCTTGGCGTGCCGCTTCATGGTTCGAGCGCTCACATTGAAGAGACCTTTGAAGGTTCTCGACTGAAGCGTTGAGAGTTTGAGCGTTTTTGGCAGCAGCAGCCTTCAAGGAATCTAGAAATATATGAGCTTTGGAGACTAGTTTATCTACTTTTGCGGTCGCTTCCTGGCACTCCTTAATAGAGGCATCAACAGCAAGAGACGCCTGTTGACATGGGAAGTGGAGGCTTCTATTGCCTTGGCTGCAGCAGATAAAGTAGCACTGTGTTCGGTGACAATTGAGGAGAACAAGGCCTTCAAGGAAGCTTCAAAATAGGCACTAGAGGAAGAGGATGAAAGTAGTTGATCAAGCGTTTTGTTTACTGCCTTTAGATGACGTTTTGTAATAGGCTCATCGTCATCATCATCGCTGTGCACTCGATAAGGACTGAAATATGTGGAATCGAATTCCAAATTCTCACCACCCAGAATATGGGTTGTTTCAGCAGATTAAGTGGGAGATAAGGGTTTGGAAGAAGGTGGAGGTTCGGTTGTGACAGGAGGTTCGGTTGTAGGTGGATTAGGAACAGTAGAGCGAGTTTTTGTGGTAGTGGTGGTATTTGTGAAAATGGGAGAGGGAATAGGAATTGTAGTGAATGGTTAAGAGGTGGTAATTAGAGAGATAGGAGGGATGGAAACTAGGCTTGTTATAGGTGGAGGGGAAGGAGGATTGGAGCGAACTGGAATTTCTGGGGTAGGGGAGTGAGGCGGAGTATCACCTCGACCTAAAACCTCATCTTCTGAGCTTTCGCTCTTAGATTCCGATGGAGGAGCGTTCTTGTGCTTAGGAGGTACATATTATGAATCGCTTGAAGATTTCAGAATAAGTCTCCTAGTGGGATTCTTTTGCCTTTTCGGTGGAGCCTGAGAAGTGGCATCTTTATCAGATTTTCGCTTCTTGAGGGTTTGCCCCTTGGTTTGCTTAATGACCAGTTCTCCCTTCTGTGTTTCAGGCTTCTTGCCCCTCTTGGCTGGCTTGTCAGCCTCTTCAGTGGACCGAACCATTACCTGTGTAAGCTCTCTTGGGCCAATAAATAGATGCTTCCTGTATTGTTGAAGAACATTACTTGACTCAAAAATACGACTGAGCATTGTTTCAGGAATGGAGACAATAAACGAAAACTTTGTTGGATCAGTAACGATCATTTTTGTCATATGAAAGGTAGCAATGGATGAGACCAAGGAGTCCGCCATTATTGGAACACGAAGGCGGTCCATTGCCCAGTTGGTAATGAGCGACCAGAAACGCCCACATGAGATATCAGAATGCCTGGATGAAGAGACCAAGCTTTGGACCAACTGCTGCCAGATAATGGACCCATAATCTAGGTCAATTCCATGGTACAACCCATACAGTACCGTCATGAAGGATTTTCTTGCACCATCGGATCCAGCGCTTCACTCAGACAGTCCCTTGATCAACAGCGTAAAAAGGCCATTCCATTGAGGAGGAAGGCAGGACTTCTTGAACTTCGTAATGGTGGTTAGTGTTTCAATATACCCCATCTGATAGAACATGGAAAACAATTGACCAGTTGTAATGGAGTCAGGGTTTACCAGAGGTCAATCTTGAGAAAGACCGATTAGGGCACAAAATCAATGCTTGGAGATAGAGGTCTTCTCATCGTGGAGTTCAAAGTGAATTCGTTCATTAATCCTATCATAGAAGGCAGTAGAGTAGACAAGAGACAAGCACGACATGTGAACAACTTCAACTTTAGTCAATGCATCGACGAGTGGTGAGTATTTGAGACATTCAACCACATACAACATATAGGGCTCATAGATGAATGGGGTGAGATCGATGATCATATTCTGTTGGGGTTTGATGGTGAGAAGAGGTTGACGAACTGAAGTATCATGAACTGATGATGAGTCTGCCATTGTTGTAGCTTGAAGAGGATGATAAAAAGTTGCAGATAATCACCGGTGTTCTTTAAGAGATTTTGGGATGTGATAAAGGTTGAGAGAGCAGCGTTCTAATTCCTTTTATACGTACAAGGAAAAGAGAGAAAAATATGGCTGAAATCTTGGATTATTTCAAAAATAGCGCCTGACTTGATAGGTGAACAATTGGCATGCCGAAGATGATGTAGGAAAGAGAAAAGACGTTTCCCTTTTACACGCTCTTTCATAAAATGTACCTTTTCAAATCGCCAGACCGTTTGGATAGCTACTAAGTCAGCTTCCACTCTATCCCAATCGTTTCTCTATATAACATTTGAATCTTTGTTGCCCTTAGTATTTTAATGATCATTCTGAACAAAACTAGAATTTGGAAAATTAAAAAATTTGCGTGCATACAGTGTAAAATATAATGAAATAAAACAAAAATTTAGGGATAATTTGTGATGTCGTAAGCAGACATAAGACAATTGATTATGGGCAAAAATCACTTCCTTCAAAGTCAAGAGAGACATTAAAGTGCTTGCTTGGTTTCCCATTGAATAACGATCAAAAACTTGTTGAGAAGTTTTGAAAAGCATCTTTTGAAGGTTAAAGAGGGTGGCTTTCGCTTTAATTCATAATTCCGATACTTAACATAAGACCGAAACTGAGTGAAGTACTTGTGAGATCATTATGATCTATTGAACAAGTAGGTATGATAAACTTTATAGTCACGAGGGAAGGAATAAATCTCAATATATATATATATATATATATATATATATATATATATATATATATATATATATTAAACTAGATCTTTTAGGGTTAGAGAAGCCTTGGTGAAAGGCAAACTCATAAAGATCACTCAAAGAAAAAAAATTCATAAGGTAACAAGTAAGATCTTGAATTTGTGAATTCACCATCAATTCATTAGTGGTGTTGAACTTTGGCATGAAACTAAGATCATGAACACAAACTTGGTATAACCATAAACCTCAGTGGTTAAGACTAAAAGTCTCAGGGGTTATATTGATGAAACGAGCTATAGTGGATAAAGATGATGAGGATGGGATAAGAAGAGAATGTACCTCTACTTTAAAGAAAAGAAGGACCAAGCAGAAAACTCTAAACTAAATTTTGAGTAGAGTAAGGTAACTCATGATTAGAGTGAATTGGATAGCCTGGATTGGGAAAACACGATTGGTATATATCATGTTATTAAGGCTTCACTAAAAATCTGTCGAGGCTTTAGTCAACATACAACAATATGCTTCTAGGGACTCCTAACCAGTAAAAGCATTTACCTGCCTTAGCATTGCCATTGAGAATCATATTTAGACAAATTGAACGAAAGAGAAAAATATTTTTGGATTTCTTAAGGATTTTAATAAAAAAAATATATTTTTGGGATTTTATAAGTAGAAAAGAAGTAATGAAAAGATGTACATAGGAAAACAATTGAAATGCCTTAAAAAACGATCGAGTTCCAAAGGATTGAACCCGGAATAGACTGAACTTTCGGTTTATTCCGGTTCATGATCGAACTTCACCCAAAACAGACCGAACGTTCGGTTCATTTTAGTTCATTTCGGTTCGCTCTATTTTGCTTGTTACCTTTATGGAAGCGAAGGTGATGTTGGTACAAATTCGGCTTGCATCATTCCTAGGCCTTGTAGAATCTTATTGAAGCTTGCTTCAGGTAAGGCCTTCATGAATATATCTGCCAATTGATCAGTCGTTCTGACAAAGTGAATTTCTATGTTACCATCTTCGATGTGATCCTTGATGAAATGATACCTTAGTGTTATATGCTTAGTCGTCGAATGTTGCACGGGGTTGTGACAAATCCAAATTGCGCTTTCAGAGTCACAATACAACGGGATTTTCTTCATGTTTAGCCCATAATCCCTGAGTTGGTTTTATATCCATGCGACTTGAGATGTACAGGATGCTGCAGCGATATATTCGACTTCTGCAGTGCATAGCGAAACACAGGTTTGTTTCTTCGATTGCCAACTAACTAATTTACCATCTAGAAATAGACATCCTCCGGTGGTGCTTTTACGATCTAATCCATAGCCACCTAAATCAGCATCTGAAAATGCTTCATCAAAGAATCCTGAGTTGGCTGGATACCACAGACCGAGAGAGGAGGTTCGCTTCAGATAGCGAAAGATATTCTTCATGGCTTGAAGATGAGGTTCTCATGGGTTGTCTTGAAATCACGCACAGTAGCAGACAGAGAACATGATATCAGGTCTACTAGTTGTAATATATATCAGAGATATAATCATCTGTCAATAAAGTGTTATATCAGCTACTGGTTTCTCCAATGATCGTCTGAGTTTAGTTCCAAAAGCCATAGGCACTTTCACTTTGGAATCTCCCATCATTCCAAACTTGGTTAGCAAAGTCTTGGTATATGCTTCCTGATTAATAAAAATACCTTCAGGTCCCTTTCTAATGTTCAATCCAAGAAAAAAGTTAATTGGACCCATTAAGCTCATACCAAATTTAGTGTCCATCAACTTTCTGAATTCAACTATTAAGCTAGGATTCGTGGAGCCAAAGATGATGTCATCAACATAAATTTAGACTATCATAAGGTGGTTACCCTCTCGCTTACGAAAGAAGGTTGGGTCAACTGAACCTTGTTTGAATTTAGACATTTTTAAGAAACGAGTGAGAGTTTCATACGATGCTCTTGGAGCCTGTTTGAGGTCGTATACAACTTTTTCAAGGATATAACAATGATCGGGATACTTCTCGTTGACGAAGCCTAGCAGGTGCTCAACATATACGGTTTCTTCAAGTTCACCGTTGAGGAAAGCACATTTGGCGTCCATTTGATAGACTTCAAAGTTCTTGTGATCAGCGTACGCAAGTAAGATACGAACAGATTCTAATCTTGCTACGGGAGCGAAGGTTTCTTGATAATCGATTACCTCTTCTTGACAATATCCTTTGACAAACAGGCTCGCTTTGTTACGAATGACATTCCGCTCTTTGTCCATCTTGTTTCTCAATACCCATTTGAGACCGACAACCGAAGAATACTTTGGAGTTGGAATAAGGCACCATACCTTGTTTCGTTCAAACTCATTTAACTCATCCTGGATGGCTTGAACTCAGTCTGAATGATAAAGAGCTGAGTTAACGGTTTTTGGTTCAACTTTGGAAACGAATGAATTGAACATGCAAAACTCGACTTTTGAAAAGAGTGCAGCCTGTTTCGCTTTGATTTGCGAATGAGTTAACAATTTTTCTGAAGATTCCCAATAATTTGACTTTTGGATCATAGACATGATCCAATTCAGCATTGATTTCTTCCTTTAGTTGAGACAGAATGTCGTCATCACCAATATTGGTTTTCTCCCCCTCGAAGAATGATTCCTGTTTAGGACCAGCATTTGTATCGCCTTCATTGGCTGGAATTTCAGTAGAGCTTGATGTATTTGGCAAATAGTTCTCCCCCTGGAATGAAGATCCTTGATCATGATGAGTAGAGGAACCCTCCCCGCTGGACATTAGGACAGTCACTAGAAGGTTCGCTTGTGTCTGCACCTTCAGTTTCTTTGGATTGATCATCAGCCATCTTCTTAGCAGCATCGTCTATAACTTGCTTCAGATTATCAACTTTGTTGTCTTTTGCAGTTGATTCAGATTCAATTTCCTTTTGAGGCTCATCAAATAGGAGCATGAATTGGTCGAAAAGATTCGAGATATATATAGTAACCTAACCATTCTTTGGAAATATGGCTTGCGATGCATCTTCTGTTGATTTCATTTTCTTCACATAACTATCGTCAAAGGTGACATAGTATGTTTCTTCAATCTTCTTTGAGCATTGATTGAGAACTCTATACGCCTTGGAGTTCAGGGAGTAGCCTAAGAAAATTCCTTCATCCGCCTTAACATCGAACTTGTTTTGAATCTCTTTGGAGTTGAAGATGAAACATCTTGAATCGAACACATGAAAGAATTTCATGTTTGGTTTTCGATTGTTCAGGATCTCGTAAGGGGTAATTGAGAACCGCTTATTCAAGTATGATCTATTTTGAGTATAACATGCAGCCGCAATTGCATCGGCCCATAAATACAGAGGTAAGGACGCGAAGCATAGCATAGTTCGAGCAGCTTCCCATAGGGATCGGTTTCTCCTTTCAACAATGCCATTTTGCTATGGAGTATAAGGGGCTGAG